TAGGAAGTGTCGGCGAGGTGTCCCCGAGGTGTCCGGGGAGAGGCGGGCACGGCGGCGTGTGCAATGCCTCGTCCGACACGAGCGAGCTCAGCACCGAGTGGCCGGCGGCAGCCTCTGCGGAGTCGGCGAGCGGCGCGAGCGGCGTGGAGCCGGTCCCGCGGAGGGCCAACTTGGCGAGCGCGAGCACGTCCTCCGGCTCGCCTGTCGGCGGGAGGAAGCTGTGACGAGACGCGGCTCACAGCAGCGGGCGGCGAGCGAGCGCCGCCGGAGCGCCAAAGCCGCTGAGCGAGAAGGCCGAGCTGCTGTCGAGGTGCGCCACGTGCAGCGACGCCACCCGACCGAGCAAGTGCAGGGCGGCCCCGCGGGCATACGCCGTCGCGACGCAGCGGTGCAGCGCGGCGGCCTGACGAGATTTCCCGAGATTACCCGGGGCCACCCGAGATTCTCCGACGCGGCGGTGCAGCGCGGCGGCCTGCCGCAGCCGCGCCCGTTGGCTGAGGGTGCTGTCCTCGCCGGGGCACGAGAACGGCCAAGGGCCGCATCGAGCGGCGAGCGGCGGATCGCCGCCGCCGCCAAGAGGAGGGGCGAAGCCGCCGGAGCAGGAGGAGGTGGACGCAACGCCACTGCCGCCGGCGGCGGCGCCGCCGCCGCTGCCGCCGGCGGGGAGGGCGGCGGGGAGGGCGGCCGGGAGGGCGGCGGGGAGGGCGGCGACGAGGCGCGCGACGCCGGTGTCGGAGGGGTAAAAGTCGTGCCCAGGCGACGGGCAAGTGCGCGAGGGCCGCTGCGAGACCGCGGCGAGGCGGCGGCTCGAGGAGAGGCTGCGCCGGAACCAAGAGCCGCCCGCCCGCTCGCGCCGCTCCTTCAGGGGGCGCGGCGGCGCCGGCGGCGACGGAGTCGCGGCGGCCACAGCCTCCGCGCCATCGCCGTCGGAGGGCGGCTGGGCTTGCGGCTGGTCGGCGGAGGCCACAGAGCGAGCCAGCGCCCAAGTCCCGCGACCGGCACCGCCCGATCGCGGCCGGACGCGGCTCTGCGGCCCGGGCTGCGCGCCGACCCACTCGGCCCACTCCTGTTCACAGACGCAGCTGTGAAGGGGCGCTCTTCGTGGAGTGCCGTCGGCCCGCCCCATCCCTCGCTCCTGCGGCCAGCCGAGGAAGAGGACGCGGACCTGCTGCCCGCCTCCCCGCACCGCGAGGACCTCCGCCTCGTGCCACTCGCCTACACGCCCGCGACCGACACACACACCTCACCGCCTCAGGGCGACCGCGGCTCCGCGGCGTGCGACGCGTGCGCACCAGTCTCGTCCGACACGTCCACCACCGCGCCAACCTGCGGCGGCGGCGGTGGCTGCTCGCCTCCGCCGCCGCCCGACGCAGCGGCGGCCGGAGCGCCGAGCAAGTACTCGGCGGCGAGCTGCAAGTCGTAGCTGGAGCGGGCGAGCGCGTCGCGGCACAGCTCCTACTCACGGCTGCAGCGGTGTGGGGGCGGCCTCCTCCTCACGCGCCGGGGTGCGGGGCGGAGGTCTTCCGTCGAGAAGCCCATCGATGCCAGCTCGGCCGCCTGCACCTCCGACGGGAGGAAGATAGGGGGAGATCTGGGGAGATCTGGGGAGATCTGGGGAGATCTGGGGAGATCTGGGGAGATATGCGCCTGCACCTCCGACGGGAGGGGCGCCGGATGCCCCTCGTCGAGCGCCGCCTGCGGGGCGTGTCGCGGACCCGTCAGGGACGCGTCCGCGTCGTGCGTGTCCCGCCCGCCGAGGGCCGCCTCCAGCGCCTCGAGCCACTCCGCCGCGCGGCCCACGTCGCCGCCGGACAGCTCGAGCGCCTCGCGGCTCACTTCCTCCTCGAAGCCCTGCGCGCAGAGCAGCAGCAGCTTCTCGCCAGCGTCGAGCTCAGGCCCCAGCTCCGCCTCCCATGCGCAGCAGCCGCCACGCCGCCCTCGCGCCGCCTTGCGCGGCGGTCCGCACCCGTCGCAGCCCGCCGCCAGCCCCGCCTCGCACGCAAGCAGCGCCTGCTCCAGCCGACTCGCCTCGTGCGACGCACCGCCCGCGAGCGGCGGCGGCGTGATGGCGGCGGCAAGGAGGAGGCGCAACCCGCCGTGGTGGAGCAGCTTCGTTGTGGCGGCTTGGCTGCCCCCGTCGAGCAACGCGTGGAGCAGCTTGAGGCGGCGGCTGTGCAGCAGCTCGACGAGGGGGCGCGCGTGCGGCGCCTGCGGTGTAGCCGAGGCAGGTGAGGGGCGGCGAGGAGGGGACCGGGCACTCGGCACACTCGCGCAAGCATAGGGGCGGCTCAACGCGGTGTCCAGAACGCGAGCCCAACGGAGAGCAGCGGGGTGCGTGATTGGCGCCACTCGCGGCGGAGGGGCCTTCTTCGTGTCTAGGGTGCGGCCGCCGGTCCGAGATCCATCCTGGCCAGCAAGCAAGGCAGGGCGGTGTCGAGATCCACCACGCTCGCCGCGGCGCAGCGCCGCTCGAGCAGCGGCTCCGCCGAAAGCGCCGGGACGCGGTAGCACCTCCAGAGCTCGCCGTCGGCCGCGGCGCCTGCTCCCAACCACACTGTGAAGAGACGCTGCCCACGCGCCCTCCACGCACCCTCGGCGGCGGCGCCGAGCAGAGCGCTCTCCGCGCCGAGCTCGAGCAGCACCGCCTGCCGCACACGTGCTGCTGTGAGGACGTTGCTCTCACGGCCGTGCGGCCCCAATCGCGGCGCTCGCCTCTCCGTGGCCGGCTTGCGCCTGGCCGCCCGGGTAGAGGCCGGGCTCGTGCGCGCCTACTCTCGGCGGAGTCTCTGGCAGAGGTGTGTGTGTGTGCGCGGGGAGGTGTGTGTGTGCGCGCGCGCGCCGGCGACGAGGAGCGAGCCGACGACATGGTAGAGGGAGGGGGGCGCCCTCGAGTAGGGCGATGCCGCCGCGGTGGCGCCCTGCTCCGCGGCCTCGCCCCCCCCCGAGGCACTACCTTGCTCCGCTGCTGCGCCTTGCGGCTCATCGTTATCGAGCAGCTGGCGGAGCACGGCGCCAAAGCGCGCCAAGCCCTCGTTGAGCGCTGCGGCCATGGAGCGATCGCCCGCGTCGCCACCCCCCGCGCCGCCCTCACTGCAGCCCTCACTGCCGCCCTCCCTGCGGCCGCTCGCGCCGCCGCCTCCGAGCAGCCGGTGCCGTGCCAGCGCAACCATCTCATTCAGCACGGGCCCGCCGGGCTGCCCGCGTGGCCGGCGAGCGCCGAAGACCGGGCGCGCGCCACCGCACGCCTCCCGCCCGATGGCCTCGAGGAGGGCTGTGCCGACGGGGAAGGCCGCCTCGCCACAGAAGCGGCTCGGCTCCGCCAGAGAGAGCGAGAACGGGAGGGCGCAGCGCAGCAGGCGCAGCGAGAGGGTGACTGCCTGTGGGCGGCCACTGCGCGCAAGGACGCCCAGCGCTGCGAGAGTCTCGTCACCCGCGAGGTGCCGCACCGCCGCCTCGCAGCCGCAGATCGAGAGGAGGAGCGAGAGGAGCGGGCAGACCACGCCCTCCGCCTCCTCCTCCTCCGCCGCCGCCGTCTCCTCCCCCGCCTCCTCCCCCGCCTCCTCCCCCGCCTCCGCCCCCGCCTCCTCCCCCGCCTCCTCCCCCGCCTCCTCCGCGGCATCGGCGGACGTGGTTGGCAACTCGGGCGCGGCGCCTCTGCCGGTGAGACGCGCAGCCTCGTCCGCGAAGCACACAAGCTCCGAGGTGAGGAGGCCGAGCAAGCACTCCTATCGACAGAGGCCGGTCTGAAGTGGCGCGCGGACGGGTGCGGCGCCCCGCCTGGCGCCGGCGCCTGGAGCGGAGTGAGGCTCGCGCCGCTCCCGTGCCCGGCGAAGGAGGTCAGGACCAGGTGCTCGTAGAGCTGGCTGCCGACTGGGTGGCGGCTCCGCCGCAGCCGGTCCAGCAGCGCGGCGACGTCGATGCTCTCGTTGCAGAGCAGCGCGCCGTCGCGCCGCCCGAGCGGGACGAGCCACGGCGCAGCGAGCAGCCGCAGCCAAGCCTCGTCGCTCGCCCCGTCGCTCGCCCCCTCCTGCGGCAGTCGCGGTGGACCGCCGCCCAAGCCCTCGACGGCGGCGCGGAGCCACTCGCCCAGCAGCGACAGCACGCCGACGAGGCTCACCCTCAGCCGGCTCCAGACCGGCTCGCCGCAGCCAGAGCAGCCACCAAAGAAGAGGCTGCCCCGGGAGGGGCCGTCCGAGCCGAAGCGGCGGAAGGCGCGCGCGAGAGCGGTGAGGAGCTCGGCGCGCGAGGCGCGCGACGGCGCGGCGTGCAGCAGCCGCAGCGCGGCCTCGAGCCCCTCGGCGCGCGAGACTGCCCGCCGCTGCCGCTTCTCGATGAGCGCGTGCACGATGCCAGCGGGTAGCACGCGGTAGTACGGGCCCGCCGCCCCGCCCCACGGCGGATGGGCTTTGTCGCCCTCGAGCAGCGCCGCGTGCGCAACCTCCTCTGGAGAGAGCGGCTCACCGACGAGCTGCTCGCCGACGTACCTAGGCGGACAGGGTGCACGGACAGGTGCGGGGACACAGTGCACGGACAGGTGCACGGATAGGTGCACGGACAGGGTGCGGGGACACAGTGCACGGACAGGTGCACGGATAGGTGCACGGACAGTGCACGGACACAGTGCACGGACACGGTCGCGGAGGCGTCCTGGGCTGACACAGTGCAGGGACACGACGTACCTAGGCGGACACAGTGCAGGGACACGGCTCCGGAGGTGCGCTACCGCCGAGCACACCGCCCCGAACGCCCGGACCAACACACACCACACGGACCACGCAACACAACGGCACCACACGCGCGCACCGTGCCGCAAGCAGAGCGATGCCCTTCTCGCAGTCGAGAGGAAGGGGCAGCGAGGCGCCAAAGGAGGGGTCGAAGCCGCGCACCTCACAGGCAAAGCCCCAGCAGCCCGCGGCGGAACCACTCACGTCGCCGCGCGGGAGGTGGGTCTGCAGCCGCAGCGTCGCCTCGCCGCACGCGACGACGAGGGGTCCGGCCGGCCACCCCTCGCCCCCGCCGCCGAAGGAGTGGAGCAGCCCCTCCTCCGCCCCGCCGCCCGCCCCCCTCCACACCTCGAGTCGGTCGCCTAGAGCGGGGGATATGGCGAGATATGGGGAGATATGGGGAGATATGGGGAGACATGGATGTGGTCTCCCGCCTCTGACTCCTAGGGAGGGGGGTGTGGTGAGACATGGCGAGATGTGGCGAGATGTGGCGAGAGATGGGCAGAGACGGGGAGATGTGGTCGCCCTTCAGCAGCGCGCAGCGCGAGTCAAACTCGAGCCGCAAGCAGGAGCAGCCGCTGGTCAGCCGGTACTCGAGCCGCGCGCAACCCTCCCCATACGGGTGCCTCGACGCGACGAGAGCCCCCGGGGCGGGGTGCGCCCCCTGCACCCCTCCCCCCTCCTCCGTGGCGGCGTCGGGCTCGATAGCACTGCCGCCCGCCTCTGCGACGCAGACGCGCGCTTCGGCCAAACAACACTCGTCGAGCGAGTCGTGCGCGCGGTGCGCCTCGTCAGCGCCGGGCGGCACCACGGCGCGCAAAGCCTCCAGCGTGGCGCAGAGGCGCGGTAGCAGCGGCGCGGCGAAGGAGGCCGTGTGCGAGCCGAGGAGCGCGAGGCCGCTGCACAGCAGAGGGAGGAAGCTGCATACGGAGCCGGGCGGCAAGGCGGGCGGCACGCCCGGGATGGCGTGCTGCCGCAGCAGCTTGGTCGCGCGCTCGAGCAGCTCTCTCGAGCAGAGGAGCAGCGCCGCCAGCCGCGGGTCCGAGAGGCCTTCGCTCTCCGCCGCGCCGCCAAGCAAGTCGAGCCACGCCGTCGACAGCAGCGTGAGCGTCGCTGGCGGACGCCGACGCCGCGGCGGCGTGTCGGCCGCCTTGTCGGCCTTGAGCACGGCGGCGGGCCCCGCCGTCGCCTCCTCCTCGAGCAAGTCGAGCAGCCGGCCCAGCAGCTGGAGGCCTCGCGAGGTCTCGAGGCCCGCCGCCGCCTCGCCAGTGCCGCAAGGCAGCAGCAGCTCGCTCACGCCCAGCTGCCTCGCGAACCCAGCCATGAGCACATGCGCGAGGAGCCTGCCGGAGGCGGCGTCGGAAGGGGGGACCGCCGCGGCCGCCGCCTCCCCCACCGCCAGATCCGCCGCGGAGCACGAGGGCGCCGCGAGGGGCGCCGCGAGGGGCGAGGCGAGCGGCGAGGGCAGCAGCTGCAGCAGCAGCTGCTGCCGCAGAGCCGTGCGAGGGAAAAAGACGGACCGGCCGACTTCGAGCACCGCCGTCGCCTCGGCCGCGAGCTGCTCGCCGAGCGCCGCCGCGCCGAGCGGGCCCGCCGCCGCGCCCTCTCCCGCAGCTGCCAGCACCGCAGCTGCGGGCGGCTCCTCCCACGCGCCTCCTCGGCACACGAGCTGCAGCAGCTGCCGCCGCACGGAGACGAGGACAGGACGAGACGAGGCGCCGCCCTTCGCCCCGCCACCCGGCCCTCCGCCGTCGCCCGCCCACGCGCCGCCGGCGCCGCCACCGACGCCCGCCTCTGCGGCAGCGGCCACCGGCTGAGGCCCCTCCGGTCCCTGGCCCTCCTCGAGAATCGGCGCCTCCGTGGGCTGCGGCGACTCGAGCGGAGTCGCGGCGGGCGACGGCGTGGGGCGGCGCGGGGAGGAGGGCTCGCTGTCGGAGCTGAGCCCCACCTGCGCCGGGTCTATGCCCGAGACGGCCACCGCGTGCAAGTGCACCTTGAGCAGCCGCAGCAGGCCGAGGCAGGTGTAGACGACGGCGGCATTTGGCGGTGGGACGACGCCGTCGAGCTGCAGCACTCTCCTCAGGCTTGCGGCGGTGAGCTGCGGGGGGAGAGGGGGGGGGGGGGGGGTAAAGGAGGGGAGTGGCAGTCGTGGCCCGTGGGGGCAAAAAAAAGGGGGGCGGGAAAGGGAAGAAAAAGGAAAAAGGGGGGGGGAGGGGGGCGGGGGGCCCC